TGTCTACTCTCTCACTAACGGTTCTAAACTAGTTAACTCAAAATCCTTCAAATGCTTTTAATGATAAGGATGTAAACTGTTTTGACTCCATATATATTATTGAGATATTTTTTAATGGCATTAAAATAAAATTTTAATTGAAGTCTAATTAAAGTTTTCCCAGCCGAATGAATGGAGATAATTATTTTTTCTTTGTTATGTTTTAAACTAAGTATTTTTTCACTCAAATGACAATGTTAAGTTTAAAACCAAACCCAATTAATAAACTTTTATAAAAATAAAGAAAAGATTTTTGAGAATCAGCATTTTGGATTAAGGTTTGTTTGATCCTGTGATCCTTTAACGGTAATTTTATTTAATACATCATCATTTGATATAAATGTGAAGGAAAAAAGATTGTTCTCTTCGACCTAAATAAATTTAGTTTCAGAGCAATTTTTATAATAATAAAATCAAATAATAAAAGTAGCAATAATAAATAAATGTATTTTTTAATCTAAAATCTAAAAATCAGCGTGTTTAAACACTAAAATTTTTCAATTAAGATAAGCTCAAAAAATTGATGGTAGACGTTTGCATGACAATAGTGATTTTTAAAGACATATTTATTACTGCTGCAAAATATTAATATTCAACAAAATTAATAAAAAACAAACGGAAAATATTTCTTGCTCTCTAAGTATGAGCTGTTGCTGTGCAATAAAAAACGCGTCAGCCTAAATGTGTCATTTGTGATGTTAGGTACTTCTTCCAAATACTTCTGCAACTAATAAATTTCATTTATTAGTTGCAAAATAATTTCATTGAAACTGAAATAAATTTCATTTATTTCAGTTGCAGAAGTACTTGGCTACGATTGATTTTCAATAATTTGTTCATTAGTTATTATATAACTGTTGTATTATCCTCAATGATTCAAATTACAAGATTCGTCACTGTTTTTGTGCAAAACTTAAAATTGTTGAGGTTTTGCGTAATTGTGTTATGCCACTGTTAAATTGCTATTTTGTTTTGAAAAATATAGAGTAACCTGGGGACACCGGGGCAAAGTGAGACATTTAGGCTTTCTAGCATTGCAAAGAATTTTTTTTAAATGCTACAGTAATTTTGGTTTATTATATTAAAAGTTTCATGTTTTTTTTAATGTTTTAAAGTAGTTTCCATCAGTTTTTTCCTATAATATGACATAGAAAAGTGAGTTTAAAGCGTACGAGTTGCGTCAATTTGATTAAAAAAATCAAAACTAATTTTTTTTTTTGTGAAAAAAATCCACGTACGCTGCTATTTTTTACCACAGAACAAACATGTAATCATTTAATTAAGTTTGTAATCATTTATTTGTTATCTTTCAGCTCCCATTCTTCTTTTTATGTCAGATTATTTTGTTTCAAAGATATTTAAGAAATATATAACTTCACATTTACGGGGAAAGTGCGACAACGCAGGTTACTGAAAAAGATCGTCAAAGTAAATGTTAAGGAAAGCAAGTTTATAAACTTGGCAAGTTTAACTTGCTATCATCATTTTATGAAACGAACAATCAGAAAAAAAGAAGAGGAAATAAAAAAAGAAAAAGAAAAAATAACAGAAAGAAAAAAAAATTACTGGAAAAGAACAATGACAATAAATTAAATTAGAGAAATATAAAATAGAACAAAAAGAAAAGAAAACTAATGAAATGCTTGATTGAAAAAGATGTAAACAATGAAAAGGAATGGCTTTGTCCAGTTTATCAAGGGAAATAGTGCAATTATACCCAAATCGACTGGATGTCTTGTTGTGTATGCACTGTTTGGGTACACGAAGACTGTACATTAAACGATATTTGATTTTTAAGTGTAAAGATTTTATTCAAATTTGTTGACTAACATGAAACTTTGCATATGCATTTTTTTTATTGATATTATTTTTGATTTTTATTTTCGATTATTTTTTATTTTTGATTGATATTTTTTCCTTTCATGTTTTTTGATTTAAAAGGAAAAATTACATTATAAAATGATACCTTTGCGTTTTTATTTGCGTTCTTATATTTTTTCAGACCGAATTTATCAAAGTCTGCTTTAATTTTTATTGAAAATTATCTTTTTACTTAGTTTTTTCTTCAAATAAAATCTGTCTCACTTTGCTCAAGGTTTTGGGGAAAGTAAGACAGGGTAGTTGTTACCATTTTGAGTTTAATTATTTACCAATGAAACAACATATCACCACAATAATTTCATCTTACATTATCACTTAATTGTTATTTGGGTTAATGATACTATTAAATTATAGATGTTAATTTAGCCTAACATTGCGCTATAGCTACCATGCAAGCGGCAGTTCTTTAGGATGACGCAAGCACCATGCGAAAGTTTTGAATTTGTTTTTTTAAGTCTTTAGATGTTATCCCTAAATACAAGCTTTTATATCACAGCAAACAACTTGTTTATGACATAAATTGAAATAAATCTCTTTTGACCATATATTTTATTTATAGTTAATTATTTCAATAGTTATAATTTCTTTATCATCACGAGAAACATTCGAATATTTCATAACATTACAAGTACTGTTTACTGTCATGTTAAATGCTGCATTTGCAAAACTATAATATTAGCGATATTGCTTTCCTGAGGCGTTTTTTTTTGTGATGCCTATTCTAAGTGATGTCTGGGAGAAACTGGTCTGGATCTCCCACCCACTGTGCGCCCCTGGTTCTATTTTTAAAGCGGTTTAGTTGTGACTAAAAATAAATTTAAACTTTGATAGATACAGTCAGCGGCGGCGCTAGGCCAATCGTGGACGTCGGCGAAAATAGCTTTGCGAGGCCCCTTTGAGTTAAAAAATAACAACAAAAAAACTAGTAAAAGCAAACATTGATTAGGCCTAACTCTCCTAGCTTGAGTTTTTATTATTTAAAGTTATAAACACACGTCAGAACTGTTATGTTTAATTATCTTAAACATTTATTTTACACTTAATTTTAATAGAAGTATTCACAATTATTTGTTCTTAATATTTAAATATTAATTTTCATTATAGTAAAATTTAGGAGAAGCATATGAGTTTTATTGATAATTATGATATGAGTAACAAAATATTAGATAATACCAAATATTGATAACAAAAATTACAGGAAAAAACAAAAATTAAAAAATGCGAACTTTTTTGGCTTTTAGCCTTGCTGAATCTTTTCAGAATTGAGTAACAAACTCATAACTAACACCAGGGGCTATTTTAACTTCAATGAACAAACTGATAACGGAGTCTTTCTTGGATGACCGTGATTCTTAAGTAGGTCTTAATCAATTTTAACTTTGAGAAACTTCTCTCAGCTGAAGCTGAATATTTACTGGAATTACATGATTTTTATTGTTATGTAAAGATTTGGATTTCTTGAAACTTATTTTCTAAAATGCTCTTTATAAGTTGTTTTGCATCAGTTATATTTTCTAGTAAAGTAGATTTTAAAATTTGCTGTTCTTCATGAAGTTAGAAGGGATCTATGTCGCTGTTTTCACTTTCCTAAAGAATTGTACCTAAATTAATGCTTGAGTAGGTCAATGCTTGAGCAGGTCCTTTATCGGCAAAAGTTTCTAATAATTGATATGAAAAAGTAAAACCTAAACGTCAGGGTTATAATTCTTGTATAATAGAATTTGCTAAATACTCTCATGCAGTTTCTGTAACGGCATTAAACTAACAAAATGTTCCGCTTCGCTCCTGTTGAGGAATTGCAAACTCTTAACTTTATTGATATTTGTTCAACACGATTTGCATCGCTGGTGCAATCGAGCAAAATAGCATACTATTTTACTTGTTTAACTCTGTGTATAACTTTATCATTAACTGTTTTAGACATCAATGTAAATAATTCAATTTGAATATCGTGGTTCAGATAATTTTAAGCAATTTGTTAATTAATTCGTTCCATGTGCTCTTTTAGCGTCAGATTATATTTGGATAACAACTTAAATAAGTCTATAAAATTACCATATACTGGAGCTCATAGCTTGGCTTGATTTCTCTGTTTCAGTCTTCCTTTTATGATGCACCATGTTCTTCCTATATTTCTATCTCTCGTTGATTTTCCAGACATGACTTTGGACTTATGTTTAGACTAATAAAAATAAATTATAGTGAGGTTATTACAAGAATTTTAAGCTTTGATTTTAATTAAATTTTTATTGTAATAACTCTAAGCTAAGATAGTCATAAAAAAAGCAGAAAATTTTAAATTGACAATTTAATTAAATAATGAGTTAAACTTTATATATAACAGTTTGTAATATTCGCTTACTTCGTTTTTATTTTTATAACCGATTGTAGTTATACACAATAACTGTACTAAATCCTAAAATAATTTCACTATATTTAATATTTAGATTATAACTTAATAAACCAAACTAACTTAATAAAAAAAAAAAATTCTAAAAAATCCAACTCTAAAAGTATTTTATGCTAAATCAATCGGTTTATATTAATAGTTAACTATCATATTTAATAAAACAAATATGATAATTAACTAATTCTGCCCTTGGTTCACAGACGACCTGTAGACCACGGGCAGAGTGAGGTAACGTGAACAAATATAGTCGAGGCGATACGGCGTGGTTTAGCCCCAGAGCCGGTAAACAATAATAGACAATATTAAAAAATGCTTTTATGTCATCAATAGCAGCTGGAAAGGATTGATACTTAAAAAATGATATTTATTTAAAGTCGAAGTAATATAATCCGATGATCAAACAAAAAAAAAAAAAATTTTGTACAGCAACGCAAAATATTAAATGTAAAAATATCATAAGTTATATTTAATTTATAATACGTATACTTTCAATAAGTATTCGCAAGGCCCCCTTCGGCTCAAGGCTGTCAACAGTCGCCAACTTCAACGCAGCCAGTGCAAACAGCGACTAATAAAAGTTATGTGTAATCCTCTGACCTTAAACATAAAACTTTTAATATAATAATAGTAGGTTTTTATAAAAAAATAAATAATATCATTGTATTTTTAGAGCACTATTAAACTTCTTCATTTGTCATGCGTGTTGGATCGTGATGATGTTCTTAAAGAAATATTATGTGTACAAGGTATTGACGTTGATGCTCCGGATGAGGTTTGTCATTGATAAAAATCTTTGCTAACTTAAAATTGACTTTAAATAGGAATAAGGAATAGAAAAAAAGGCGGATATAACTAATTTAATTTTATTAAACTTTCATTTAAAGCAAGGCCGTTCACCATTATTTACATGCGTTGAAAATGGCTCTTCTGATTGTTTTGATATACTTATTGCCCGTAATGCAAACATTGAAAATAAAGATCAGGTGAGAAAATATGTAAAGAAAGTTAACACTGTTTTTTATAGTTTATCAGTATATCCTTGATATTATTTGATCGATTTACTGAATAATTTTGGTCCCTCCAATATATATATATATATATATATATATATATATATATATATATATATATATATATATATATATATATATATATATATATATATATATATATATATATATATATATATATATATATATATATACATGGGGCCATCCATAAAGAACATCATCATTTTTTAGCCAATTTTTGACCCCTTCCCCCTTTGTCACCGGTTGTCCTTTTTCCCTATACCCCCTGGAAAAGGACATCATAAAATCCTGACCCCCTCCCTATTTTTAACTTCAAAAAAATTTGTTTCATCTTGCAATGATGTTTGAATTTACTGCTACACCTTTGAAAAATAAAATTAAAAGTATTCTCATATATTATCTTCTCAAAAACACATGTTTACGTAATTTCCATGTTAATTAAACTAAAATAAAAAATCTATAAAGTTACGTACTTTTCTGACAACCTTCTCCCCCCTCCCCTTGCCCTTTTTGACTCAATTCTTTCCCCCTCCCCCTATTTGGATGACGTCCTTTACGGATGGCCCCTATATATATATATATATATATATATATATATATATATATATATATATATATATATATATATATATATATATATATATATATATATATATATATATATATATATATATATATATATATATATATATATATATATATATATATATATATATATATTATACACATACGGATGTATGTATATAACATAAATTAATCCAAGACCGCCATCCTGAAACTAGTATCTAAAATTAAAATCTAGCTTTGCTAGATTTTAACTTTAGATACCGAAGCTGTTTTAATGTCGTCTAATTGAAAGTTACTTGAGTACCTACTTGAGTGGTTTTATATTGATCAGTAGTGCAATTAAAATTTAATTTTATAATTGTTCAATAAGTGTTCAATTTAATGGAACTAAAATTACAATACTGATTGCAATAAAAATGTTTAAACAATATTTTGTATTACTTGTAATAAGAACTGATGAACTCCAGATTGTTTTTTGCACATTTAGTAGCATAATATGTATCTCCTACCACAAATACTATAACAGTCATTTATAATATCACATAGTATAATTTAAATTTTGTATGAAATCATATTTATCACTATATGTATCGTAATTTTAACATAGTATACATAGTATCGTAATTTTATACATAGTAATTTTATACATAGTATCGTAATTTTAATTTAATTAATTGTGTAGTTTTACCTCTGTAAATTAATTTCTTAAATGGTATCGTATGGTACGAGACCATCCCTCTAGGTATCGACTAAGACCATCCCTCTAGGTATCGACTAAGTACTAATTATCTAGTGCCTAATTATTACAATAATTTTAGTTATAAAACAATAAAAATTTAAAAAACCCAATAATAAACACTAAAAATAGTTATCAAATATCAAAAAAAGCCAAAAACTTGATGAATGAGGATAAAAGACAACTTATTTTACTATTTTGATCAAAGAATTATCTGCAGCATGGCTATAACAAGACACACAATAAACAAATAAAGCAAGTAAAACTGACTTATAATGATAATGTAGTTAAGTGTTAAAAAAAACAGAGTTTCAACTAGTTTATAGTTTCTTTAACTTTCGATAGACATGATGGTTACGGTCTGGTTATTCAACATGATGCTTTTTTCCATTTTGAGCACTAAATAAAACCATTTATGAGCTCACTGTTTGTTTGTTAGTTTCATAATTTTAGGACAAAACTTTTAAAATATTACAATCTCTTCTTTAATATGACTTTAACAGTATATTAATATATTTCACTTTGAAATGACAAATGTCAAACTTCCAAAGTGACTATTTTTAAATTTTGATTGATTCTTAACGTATTCCATATTTTATATAATACTGTTGTAACTTCGTTTTTTATACGAGTTAGATACGTATTAGCTGAGAGGAAGACTGTTGTATGTTACATACAACTGTATGCTTATTTACGGAATAAAGAAATTTATAAAATTGTAAAAAATGTAATAAGTTAGATAAAATTATATTCGAAAATAAAACTATGAATAATGTTAAAATTACTTAATCTCAACACCTACTTTTGGAAGTTCTCATATCACAGCGCGATACAATTTATTATTTACTATTGTTTTTCTTTAATTTTTTAGGGAGGAAGGTCAATCCTAATTGTTGCTATATGTTCAAATAACTTCATCTTTCTCGACAAAATTGTGAATGTGCTGCCTAAAAAGGTTTATTTTTTAAATGATTATTAAAGTTGCAATTATCATGATAAAATTATCATGACAATTGCAATTATAATTTCAACGATTTGTTTAGCTTATAGAAGAATCATTGGAGTTTTGTATTTCTTCAAAGAATAGTGAAGCGCTTGCTATTATAGCCGAATACGACTCAGTCTGTTTATTGAAATTTGCGGGACAATTCGATTTTGTTGATAAGGTTAGGTTCTTTATTTTTAGCGAGTAACTTAGCGCAGGGTGGTTAATCTGGGACTTGAGTAACTTTCATAGGAATCCTAATTAACTATTTATGGGGCTTAAACTAAAGTTAAGGAATTATAAATCAAGTAAAAGTCAAAAAAGTATGGCTCAGCCATAAGTTGCCACATCTTTTTTATTAAAATTTATGCATTCACGTTTAAATTATTAATAAAATTATTTAAATAACTGCTTCAATCAGTTGTATAACTAAAACTCACAAACAAAATAATGCAAAAGCTTGTTTCCGGGACAAAATGTCCCTTTAATTTTTTATAGAGTAATGAACCATATGATCTATTAGTCATTTTTATATGTAGACTAATTTTTTATAAGATGCTCAAAAAAGACCTATTGGTCTTATTACAAAAAAATTATTTCAAAGTGGCTATAAAAGTAGTTATAGAAACTAGTTTTATAAACTTAAATATATATGTTAAAAGTTTTATATACTTAAATATATATGTTAAAAGTTTTATATACTTAAATATATATGTTAATAGTTTTATATACTTAAATATATATGTTGAAAAGTTTTATATACTTAAATATATATGTTAAAAGTTTTATATACTTATATATATATGTTAAAAGTTTTATATACTTAAATTATAAAACTAAGATTGAGATATATTAGTTTTATAATATATAAAAAAATTTTATAATAAATAAATATATAAAAGAAGACATTTCTTATATTTATTTACCATAAATGAAAAATCGGTGATGAATGCGACAGGAAATTTCTACATGAAATACAAATTTTTAAAAAGATCAAGGAGTATCTTAAGAAAAACAATAAAACTTTTATGGAAACGAGGTTTGACAGAACTTCTTTTATGGAAACGAGGTTTGACAGAACTTCTTTTATGGAAACGAGGTTTGACAGAACTTCTTTTATAATTGTACAAAAGAACTCAAATAAACTTTTCACATTAATAGCGTGTTTATTTATCAATATTATTTTATAAATCAATAATAATAATAATAATAATAATAATAATAAATAAGAAAGTATTAATTTCAATTTGATATTTTTTACAAAATAGACAAATGAAAGTCATCATGTTAATGAATTTCATTTGGCAATCCTTTAATAAAACTCTGCCCTCAGCCCAGCCCTCAGCTTCAGCCCAGCCCTTTTGATGATAAATTAACTTCTTCCATTTATCTAACACCTGGTTAAAATTGAAATAAAAAAAAACAAAAGAAATAACTGCCTTTAGGCCAAAACTTTTCCCTATTAGGCATTCATGGTATGGAAACACTATTACTAAACATAGCCGGATTATCTTTAAGGCACGTGGAGCGTTTGCCCCAGTGATAAATTGACTATAAAAAAATTATTACTTCATTCATTTGGTGTTTTAATGAAAAAAAAATTTGAAAGATTAAAAAAAAAATTGATTATGCAAGCGAAAGGATTTGAACCCTCGCCATGCTCAGAATAAACTATTATCAAAAAATTTGATGATTGATTGGAACACACTTTTCTTCAACACGATATTGGCTTTCCATTAAATATATTTTCTAGATTTTACAAATCTCCTGCCCTTTATTTCCTAAACGAGTGAAGCTGAAATTGTTATTTTTGGCTGTTTGTTGATACAATCTATAAAAACAAGAAGTATCTGGATATTTTCCAGTAAAAATTTTTATGCACATCAATAACTTTAAAATTGATTAGAAACTTGATGCATGTTTATTGCGATAGTCAGAAATTTGAAGGCGTCTTTTAAACTCTTGTTTTTTTATAAATACAATTTTATAAAAAGAAATGAGTTTTCAATACACTCTTTTCCTGATTTCCATCAACCAATAATTACACAAAGTGTGGTGATTTTTCAATATAAAATTTTACCCATTAAGTTCCTTTGTTTAGTTTATTGTTTAAAAACTGATAAATAAATGGTTATTTTACCAAAACTTAATGAATCAAGTTTATATATCTCAAAAGGCTTTATTGATTTCAACACTTCTTTTTTTGTCAAAAAAACAGTTTTTACTGCAAGCTTCCGTACATAGAGATTTTAGACAGTGATATTTTTGTTTGAGTGTACTTGTTTTTTAGTATTTAATCTTCTACTCGATATCTTTTCTAGTGGCTTTTTCCTAGTTTTTTTCAGTTAAATTCACTATAAAAATTGTGAAAAAATAATCGTCTATAAATTTGAACAAATCTTATTTGATATATATAAAAAAATACATTTTACATGTGAGCTTTTGCGTGATTTTTTAAACTCTACGGTTTAGTAGATTCCATGATTTGTTATATTTTATAGTTTGTTAGATTCCATAATTTGTTAGATTCCGTGATTTTTTAGATTCCATGATTTGTTAGACTCAATGATTTGTTAGAACCCATGATTTGTTAGACTCCATGATTTGTGAGGTTCTATGACTTTTTAGATTCTGTGATTTTTTAGATTCCATGTTTTAATAATAATGATGGTAATAACTAGGTATTTTAAAAATTTTGTTAATTATATTTGAGAATTTTTTGTACTAATTTTTAAAACAAATTCGAAAAATAAAGGCATAAGTCGTTTATGTGTGAATGCTATTTATGATTGTGAAATGGAGGCACTTCAAATAACTTTAAAAACTTTCAGAAAAGTCAAAATTAGATATCATAAAGTTTAACGACTTAAACAACCGTAGTATTATACAAATATAAATTGAATAAACATTATATACAAAAGTATATGTTATGTTTTTTTATTTATTTCAAACAAATTATGTTAAAAAATTTAAAAAGAACAAGGTGTACGATGTTGTACATATGTTTCCATGTGGTCTGCACGTGGAGATGCAAAGGTTTTCTGCACGTGGAAATGCAAAAAAAGCTTTGATTTTTATAGAAGTTGTAAGTGTTGGAAGCGTTATCAGCATTTGTTAAATACTCTTTAACAAAACCAGAAATAGTTTGCTAAGTGAGTTCACTCACTCCAAGCACCTTGAATTCATGGCTTTAAACTCACTGGTATTTTATCTTGAAATTATGAGCAATTATTTAAATTTTTTAGAAAAAAAAGTAAAAATAACTTGTTCTGATTGGGTATAGAAAAGGTAATGTGATAAAAACATAAGGTTCTTTGATGAAAGTCAATGGAGCAGAAACAGTTTTGTCAACTAAATAACATTTAGAACACAAATGTTTTGTGTTAATGTTAAATGGTTTTTATTGCAAATGAAAAGTAGTTTAAAAAGGTATTCTGATTTTTTCAAGTAGACTTGATAGAAGTTGGCAACGTATCAGAAATAAAATATTTTTTCAAAAAAAATGATTATTTTGGGTAACAGTTTCGATGTGATTTGAATGCGATTTCATATATATTTTGCTTTCCTAAATGTACGCCTTGCAATTTAAATTTAATTTACCATCTTATATAACTCTTGAGAATAAAATGCTTTCTTTACAACAAAGATAAAAAAATTTTCAAGATCGTCAGTTTTTTAAGAAACGATAACTTCTTTATCTTTGAACTGAACATTGATAAAAAGTTTATATCATCATCATGATATAATATGACACAAAATTTTTTTGTTTGTTTTTAAATTAGCACAAAAATGCCAATCTTATGGTGTTTTTGCATTCTTGCGTGCATAATACAAGGGATGGGACGGTTATTATTTTTCGAAAAATTTTTACCCACCCCAAGCTTATTAAGACTTTAAGCCTTTGGTTTATTCCTCTCCATAGTATAAAACTTATATATACGTATTAAATCCTATTTTATTGTAAGCAACACTAGAATTAAATTGATTCATACTAGGGTTTGCAATCCCAGATCCCGGGATCCCGCCTAATTTTATCAACATACCTAAATCTCTAAACAATGTTAAAAAAAATGGTAGTAGATTTCTCTAACAAAATAAAGAATGTTATAAGAAATGAATTAAGACTTCTTTTGACGAGTGGACGTCGATTCAAAATACCCGTTATTTGAATAACAATTTATTCGATAGAGACAATTTTTGGAATTTAGGTTTAGTTAGGATCGTAGGGACAATGCCAGCTGAAAAGTGTGTAGTTTTACTTAAAGAAGATCTCTCCGCTTAAGGTTTACTATTGTATGAATAATGACAGATGGAGCATAACGAAAAAATTGGAAAACTATTACAGATTAATGAATAGCTATGATTTGCTCTTGGTATTTAACTGGTTATTCTTTCAGTTTTTATATAATACGTCAGCATCAAACTGCACGCAGAGATATTTTGTCGAGAAAACTGATGCTCATATTAAAATGAAAATGAATCTGAACTTAGTAAAAGCTGCGATCAGATAGCGATGATGATGGTGATGAGAGTTGCTTTATAGTTGATAATCAAATAATTGAAGACGTAATAATTACAAGCAAATCAATTGGTCCAGTAATTAATAAAGTTAGAAAAATCGTGATGGTTTTTAAAAGATCACCAAATAAAAATAATGAATGTCTTTAAAAATATGTAAAAAATGGCTTTCGAAAAAACCTTAACTTAATCAAAGATTGTAAAACAAGATGGAACAGCTTACTATCAATGCTTGAAAGTTTTAATAAGTTAAAAAATTGCATAAAAAAAGAGATTGTTAACATCAGTATTAATGGTTCTATAAAAATCTTATGTATAAAAATGATAATGAGTATGAAACTGTTTCTAAACTAGTAAACGTGCTAATTTCAGTAAAAGCGCTTTGTCGACGCGATACAAAATAACTGCTGACATTGTGATAGAGTTTATGCTACCTTATAACTGCTGACATTGTGATAGAGTTTATGCTAACTAAATTAAAAAACTGAATACTGCAACAAGTTGTCAACTTTTTAATGTATTAGCCTCCAGAATCAAAAAGCGAAGGACTGAATTAAGTAGTCTACTGCAGTATCTACATTACGGGGAAAAAATATTAATGCTCATATGGGAAGTTTTTTCATCTTCAAATTTTAAAAATAAAAAAGTAACGTTGAAAGATTTTTTAGTGACGAATAAACCAATGAGCATAGAGTCAGAAATAGCATTTTCTTCCGCAGGACTATTTTGCAATAAAATAAGAAGTCGCTTAAGTGATAATAGTTTAGATAGTTTGAGCTTTCTGTGAGCATATTTTTTTAAAGACGTTAATGTAATAACTTTAATTTAATAACTTTATGTTCAAGTTTTATTGATTTTTTTTTTATTGCAAGATACTTAATTAAATATTTTTCTTTAAGTATTTTATGCTTTAAAACTAAAAGACTTTTCTTTTAGTTTTAAAGCGTAAATTAATGCCGAGATTTCCCGGGAAATTCCGGGAATTAATTATACAAAACCCGAATCCCGGGAATAGAAACTTTCCGGGTTTTTGCAAACTCTAATTCATGCGTGTTCTGTATAAAATATAAAATTGAATATACCAGGTTTTGGTTATAGGCCGACAATTAATTTAAATTCAATTCAAGCAAAAGTTCTTAGCCATCATTATATATTTTTTTATTTTATTTTTTATTTTTTTATTATTTAGGTGCCCCAAGAAGACCAAACGGTTTTGTCACAGAGCACCGCGGAAGCGCATTTAAACAGGAAGTTCACGCCAATGATATATATTAACTAGATATCTAACTCGAGCCGCGGTTGTGAGGCAAATTTGTTTATTGGAAGCCATCTTGAATACTGGCAAAACACGCAAAAAAAAATTTATAATATTTTTTAAAAATTTACTTTTATTACTAAAGAAATGATTATATCGTGCTCTACTTATGGTTGTGTGAACCGATTTAATAAAGGTGTTGCGATATCGTTTCATAAATTCCCTTTAAATAATAGCGAGCTATGCCAAAAATGGGTTGTGGCAACAAAACGTGATTCATTTGTTCCTACAAAATATAGTTATATATGTAGTGTTCACTTTCATAAAGAAGATTACAATTATGAAAATGCAAATAAACCTCGTTTAAAAGCAAATGTTGCACCATCTATCTTTAATTTCCCGGCGAAAATGCATTCTAAAAAGCCCATCAAAAGAAAATATGTTTCCAGGAATGTGACTGAGACATTCGAAACTATTAATGAAAAAAAGATATCTCTTTCGTTGCCATGTTCCTCTAAGAATCATATTTTAACTAGTGTAGATTTTACTATTGAAAAACCAAATAATAAAGTCAACTCTCCATCTAAAGTCAAGCTTAAAAGAAAAATTAAGACTCTTAAACAAAAGCTTAGAAGGAAAGAATTGAAAATAAATACAATGACAGAAATTATTAAAAAACTTAAGAATGACAAGCTTATATCAGCTGATACAGCTCAATTTCTTGATAATAGCTTTTCTGGTCTTGATTGTGATTAAATCTGAACTAGTCAATAAATGCAAAGATCCTAGAGGTCCTATAAGTTCTTTATCGAATTGGTCCTCATATATTGATTGTTCACCTGGATTTTTTAAAGATATTTTTTCTTACTTACAACAAAAGGGATTAGATGTTACGTATAAAGATTGTGGATTGATCTTTGATTCTATGCATATAAAATCAAGTCTTGTTTATAATCCAAGTAATGGTAACTATGAAGGTTTTTCAGATTATGGAAACAATATGTCTGCTTTTGATCCAAATAGTATAGCTACTGAGGCTCTTGTCTTTATGCTTGTTGGACTTCGAGGGCATTGGAAATGTCCTATCGGTTATGTTTTATGTGAAAAGATTTCAACAACAAACTTGGTTTGTCTTATAACTAACGCAGTTAATTTATGTGTTCAACATGGTATAGATGTTCACAGCGTAACTTGTGAGGGTGTTTTTTCTAATTTTAGTGCCATGAAAAGTCTTGGCTGTTCGTTTGATAAAGCTAAAAATATGAAAACTTTTTTTAATATTGAGTCTTATAATAAAAGTATTTATTTTGTTCCTGATCCTTGCCATATGCTAAAACTTGCACGAAACACGCTATGTGATCTTGGTGTATTTATTGATAGTCAAAAAAGATTTGTAAAGTGGGAGCACATCACAATTCTGCAAAATTTGCAAGAAGACATTGGACTAAAGTTTGCTAATAAGTTAGGAAATAGCCATATTAATTTTCATAGGCATAAAATGAATGTAAAAAACACTAAGTAATTCTGTAGCAGATGCTATTGAATTTTTAATGCTATCTGGTCATCCCTCTTTTCATGATGCTCAAGGAACATTAGATTTTATAAGAACAACTAATCAACTTTTTGATTTACTTAATTCAAGAAGTTCATTTGGCAAAGGTTTGAAAAAACCCTTATTTCTTAATGACAAAATCCATTGGTTTAGTGTTATTGAAAAAACAATTAAATATCTGGCCAGCCTAACTGATAAAGATGGGACTAAAATTCTTAAACATAGAAGAAAAACGTTTGCTATTGGTTTCATTGTCGCTGCAACTAGTATCCAAAATATGTCTATAAATTTACTATCAAGATCCGAATGTTCATTCAAATATGTGTTGACCTATAAAGTGTCTCAAGATCACTTAGAACTGTTGTTTGTTGTGGAGCTTCCAACTGAACGTGTGCGTGAGTGTCAGCGTAGTCATTAGGTTATTATTAACAGTTAATATATTGTTTACTGGTAATAGTGTATTTAATTAATACCTCCTCAATCTAATCCATGTCCAGTTTTTTCAAAGTATGTCAGAAATAGCAGCATCTTCTTAAGGTAGTTAACTTATTTTTAAAACTATAACTTTAAAGTAACATCAACTACTTTAAGTTTACAATTATAAAAATAACGTCCAGATAAAGTAATTAAATTCAATTTTAGATAAAGTAATTCAAAACAACATTACTTCTTCTTTAACATTAACTATACTATTAAGATTATTTTGTTTCATTTTTAATAAATAAACAGGTCAGGTAGTATATAGTTTCTTGTAAAACCAAGTCAAAGCTTTATCGCTTATTTACGATGTTTTGCCAGTATTCAATATGGCTTCCGCCGAAAAAAATTGCCTCATACTATATCAAGGAATTTTTACGGAGTTAGATATCTATGTATATATATATCATTGGTTCACGCCTCTTTCCTTACCGCGATGCAAAAATATGTCGAAGTCTTGTTTCGAACCTGGATCTCCTGCTTATAAAGCAAGCGCTGTTACCACAGCACCACGGCCGTATTAGGACCTCCTCCACCTCATTTATTAGGTTGGGACTAAAATTTCCACCCTTCTTTTATTTCCACCTCTCCTTATATTAATTATGTAAGATGAAATTCTTTATTTAGTAAAATTTTAACAGTTTTTTACAAAAAATTGTTATGTACGTAGACATTCCTATACTATAGACGTTGTACTTACAACATTTTTATCCGTATTTTGCCCCAGATTTAAGAAATGAATTAGTCAGACAGTGTTAAGATATATTTGCTATTCGAATTTAATAGTTCGTTAAAAGTCAGTGAAACCGATTACTAAGAATTAGGAATTGAAAATGAGTCAGAAGTTAATATCAAAATTTTAATTTATTGTAGGCAAACTTAACACCTCTACACTATGCTTCAAAACGAGGATTTTATAATACTGCAGAAAAACTCATATATGCAGGTAGCAAAAGCTGCAATCGAAACGTAAGAGAAAATTAAATTTTCACATAATATTTTAAACATTCTTAAATAAATATATATCATTAAAATTAAACGGCTACAAAGATTTCAAAAATTAAATTTTTTTATTCTTTAAATCTAAAGTATAAATATAGCCTATACAACTGTTCATTTTTTTATTTCTGTTCAATTGATGAACTTTTAATAAAGTTATTAATTATATAATACAGATATAAAACTATAAAGTTGAATTTCAATACAAAATATACAAACTGTAAAACTGAACTTGAATTTTATTGGTTTATTTGTTATTCAGATTATTACTTATTGTTCAGAATTTCAAATAAAAATCTTTTGAATTGTAGGATAGTATTGAGACTTTAGCATGGTCAGCTGGTCATTACAAAGTATATAGCTTACTTGTTTGTGCAGGATACACACAGGGGGATACGGTAGCTACTTTTCAGTTTATTGTATCTATTGACGTATCTGGCTGTAAAGGAATAGGACTAGAATCTTTTTTTTTTTTAATAATGTTTTGTTCAAAATATTTTTAATACCGTAATAATTAATGCCTTTATGACATTTTTATATTTCCATTATAAAATAATTTATAGTAGATAACCTTTATTTAATCTCTCTTTCTATTAAAAAATATAGAGTCCATACAATAATACTATTTGCCAATCAGATCAATAAAAATTAACATCAAATCGACAGTTCATCAAACTAACCAACCAAATCAACAAACAGAACCTTGATACTTACATTTTCAATCAAAAAACTTTTATAACTTTTTTTACTTTATTGTTTTATTAACTAAAATCAAATTAAAATGAACAAAGTAGTTTAAGCATCTAGTTTTTTTTTAAAATTTATTTAGAAAGTTTCTTCCAATTGGAAACTAATTTCAAACGAATGGGTTAAAGAAGGGAATGGCTTAAAAACGCTGTTTGATCAATTAAAAGCTATATCAGACTGCAGTGTTGACTTGATATGTCAAAATTTTACTAATCAACTTGATCTGTTAGAACTCTTCTTGAATAATCAAGTTAAGAACTTAGCTTTTGTGAATTGCCAACTTAAGAAACTACCAATTTCAACACAAATTAAATCATTATGCTTACAATCGTGTGTTATTGAATGCTATAGTGAATTACAAAAATATGCCGAGTTGGAAATGTTAACAATACGAGATTGCAATTTACTAAATTTTCCAATTTTTCTGAAAGAGTTAAAACATTTGCGTTTTTTAAACTTAAACAACAACAAGACTTTGACCAACTTGCCTCATTGGATCAATCAAGTACCTTTAAGTTATTTATCTATCAATAATTGCAACTTTAAAGCTATTCCAGATCTTCTTCCTCCATCTTTGAATATTCTTTTGTGTGAAAAAAACAAAATTCAAAGACTTTCTCCGTTTCTTTCGCGGCTTGAAAGTTTAATGTATATTTCAACAGTTGGCAATCCTCTAACATTTCCAGAATATTCAATTAATAAAAGAACAACAAAAGAAATAAAACAGTATTTAGGCGCTTTTTTAGATGATAGTTTACCAAGTAACTGTGTGAAGGTCTCTTTAATTGGAAAAGAAAGGGCCGGAAAAACATCATTAGTAGAAGCTATTAAGTCAGCAAACGGTATATGCGATACAGAGTTTGCCAAAAAAACAGATGGTTTAGAAATATCGGTAGTTGAAATAAATGATCTCAAACTTCGAGTTTTTGATTTAGCCGGAGACATAGAGTTTATTGAAACACATACAATGTTTTTTTCTGAAGAGACGTTGTATTTAGCTGTGTTTGACTTGAGATCTTATTCACTTAAGTCATCTAAAACCAATTTTCTTGCTCGAATTGAAGTTTGGCTTTCATCTATATTTGCACAAATACCTAACGCTCAAGTAATAATTGTTGGAACTCATTCTGACGAAGATGTGGTTACCCCTTCTATGTTAGATTGTATATGGGAGAACGTTTATAAAATTTTGCTCAAAGCCAAAAAAAATCATACTAATTATATTGAATCTTCCCCCGTTCATAACTGTATTTTATGTTCAAGTAAAGAGGTGTTTAGAGAAAGTATTCAGGGTGTAGCAGGTAAAGTATTGGTTTCACAAGATACCTTTGATAAAAATGAAATTATGACAAAAAATATAAACCAAAAAACATATTATGAAAATTCAAGTTTTGAAACTGCAGCATTAAAATCGGATAAAAACATACGTAATGAGTTAAACGATATTCCAGATGGTGTCCAAAGCTCTAGAGAAGGGTCTCACAATTACAATTTTCCTCACATTGTTGGCTATTTTGAGGTTAGCAGTACCTGCAAAATACCCAGAAAAATCTTTTCAAAACAAAACACCAGTATAGAACAGCTGAAATGGAACATATATTTGGCTTGTAAACAACTTAAATCATTGTACCCATCAATACCAAGGAAATGGATAAATCTACACGAAGTGTTATTAAAACAAATTGAAAAAAGTTACCCAGTGTTGAGCTATAAAAAATTGGAAGAAATTGCAGAAAGTTGCGGGATTGCTCCAAATGATGATAGTCTTATTCCTTTCTTGCGTCATTTTACGTCTTGTGGTGAGATTTTGTATTATTTTGATATTGATGAGCTCCGTGATGTAATTATAACAGAACCGCAATGGTTAAGCAATCAACTGCGAGCAATAATTAGCTGTCACGATCTACCTTGTATAAAAGAAGGCCTTATCGAACACAAGCACTTTAAAGACATATGGACTAATCTTGAGGATGCACATAGGTACAAATTAGTACATCTCTTTCGTCAAGCAGGAGTTTTTGTTCCTTTTTCAGAAACATCTGAACTTATTCCGTGTAGACTTCCTATTGGTCGTCCGTCAGATGATATTTGGCCACCTTTGCCATCTGCTACAGAAAACCAAGTTGATTATTTTATTCAATTTGACAACCTTCCTCCGTCTTTTTTTTCTCATCTAATATCACTTATTGAGTATCGACAACCAGCAGTTGTATCAAAAATAAAGCCATTATATCTTAGCAACCATATTGTATATATAACCCAATCTCAAGGAATTCCTTGTGAGGTTCACACAAAAGATATGAACTCATTCGTTCTTTCACCCCCATCCAATAACAGTAAGTTAAAAAATGGGATGCACTTAGCTAGATTTTTATCCCTTGACGTTGAGTGTGTTGATAGTTTGCTAGATTCTAAAGTCAATTTATTTAGATGTTCTGGTATTTTTGATGATTCAGAAGCACTATGTATTGATTCAATTAAAGAAACAGGAAGACATCGAATTCACTTTGCTGTACAACCTCACAAACAGTCATTAACTATAAGCATACGAGGACCTAAACCGTGTTGCTTAGCTCCAGAAACATTAGATCTTGTTAACCGAGTTCGTTTAACAAGATACCAAACAATCAAAAATAAATTCTACATATGTTGCCCTCAATGTGTGCGAAAAAGAAAATACGATGTATGTATTTATTCCTTAAATGACGAGAGCACTATTTTACCAATATGTTCTAAAGGCCACGATGCAGGTACTTGGATTAATGTATTCACGGGAAAGTGCGACTTTATAGCACCACTAACTTCTGAAAATATTGTTTGTAGCTTGACGGATTACCAATCTCCTCGACTTTTTTTGCTTATTCCCATAAACTTGGAGTCAAAAGATTTTTGCAGCTTTTTTACATTTTCCTATTTTAAGGAAGGTTATTCAGTTCATCTTCTTTGCGAGTATCCAAATTGTTGGCATTTTCTATCATCTCCCGGTTATCGCCTAAGTAGACCTAAAGAATTTGTTAAAAAATACGGGAGCCGGCTTAAATCGTTATTACGCATTTTAAAGTCATTCGAAACACCAGCAAAAATTTTGAGTCCATTATTTGATCCTCTTGGATCAGTTTCAGAAACGTGTGCTTCGTTAGGATCGCTAGCTAATTCATTAGAAACTTATTTGTCTGATTTTAGCGAAGAATTTTCATGCTTCAACAGAGATAACTCGAAAAATGAATATGATTATGTGATGAGCTATGATGGATTAAACCGAAGAGAGTTTAGACGATTTCTGAACGTAACTGATAAAGATCATCGCTTTGCCGATCTCATACCTACTTTTATTGGTAATCAAGTAATGTGGGTATGCGAAGAACATCATAATATGCTGATTGCTAAAGAAAATAATGAAATTTTTCTTCCTTAAATTTTTAGTTAAATTTATTTTTAAATTGCTGTTTTAACTCTTTTTTAGTATAATTATTATTTTTTAGTATAATTATTATTTATTTATTAATTAGTATTTAGTATATTTTTAATATAATTATTTTTTATAATATTTATTTTTAAATTATACGTATATTATTATGAAATAACATATTTATATTTTAATTATATAGATATATTTAAATTTAGTAAAGTAATAAATTCATTTTTAATATTGTTGGGAAATAACCAACGTTTGTAATATTTAATAAAATTTATTGAACATTTGATCTCTAAAAAGTATATGCGTGTAAGATCCAAGTTTTATTTCACTTATATGTTTATTTTTCATTAATATTATTACATGTTTATGTAAACTTATTTACCACAACAAATGACAAATTTATTAAAATACTACAAATATTGCAATTAAAGTATTAATAGATAAATAACTATTTAGTAACATAACTTTTAATCTTTGTTTAAAAATGATTGTTCTTTAATATCATTTGGTAAAAAAGATAATAAAAAAACAAAAACAAATTCTTATATTTTTGATAAAGAAGCCAAAATTGGCTTCATAAACTTAAGAAACAATTTCAACTTAAAACACCCCCTGCCTTGGGGCTCTTGGTTGAGTAAAGGCTAGAAATGGTGTTTCGATAAAGTAAAAGTCTTGTAAAGGCTCCAATAGTCACATGCTTAGCCTTGGCATTTACATTTGTAAGAAAACACCCATTTGTCTTCAAACTAGGTTTGAATTCACAAACTATTCTTTTATGTGCTTTCGTTTAGCACCACTTCACTCTATTGCCTCTCTCTTTGTTCTATACCGCTCTCCTTCATCTCAAGACTGCACATTTTTGATGTTATTTCTGATCAAATTGACCAATCTCTCTATCTTTATCTCTCAGCCAATATTGATGTTGTTAGTGACTTTAATGCTCGTTATACTGAATGGTCTTGGCTCTAGCGTCGGTGACTCTGCAGGCCTTAAGGCCCATAACTTTTGCTTTTCTCAATCTCTAACTTAAATAATCAACTTTCCAATCCGCTTTCTAGACAATCAAATCATTTACTTTCTCTAATTGACTTATGCCTTGTTTTTGATCCTAGTAAGTGCTTAAGTTCACCCTTAGGTGCTTTTGATCACAGTTTGATCTCTCTAAAACTATTATCTCATTCTACTTCATTATCAGAATCCCTTTATTATCGTACCTCTTACAATTACCTTAAAGCTTTGTAATGGCCCTTAGGTAGAAATCTTTCGTTTTCCTGCTGACAAATGTGGTTCTAACATAACCTTTTCGATTCAAGCTGGAATTGAATCTTTTTTCCCTCTTGACAATTCTAAGTCAACCCTCACTCTTCTCCATGGTTTACCTTGCATTGCGCTGCTGCAATATCCAATGGAAACCAATACTTCCATATCTATCAGCAAAATAATTTTTGCAGAAAACAGACGTCTGTTTACTATTTCTAGAAACCAATGTAAAAAGGTTTTGTCCAACGTCGAATCCCGCTATTCTCAGGTCATAAAATCTCGTAGTTCATTTCAAAAATTAGTCTCTCGTGACTTCTGAAGAATCTTTAACAGTACCAGTAATAAGGGCAAATCTGTTATTCTACTTCTCTTGTATGGTTCAGATTTTTCACCTCACCTTAAGACAAAGCTAAGTTGTTTGCTAAGAACTTTTCATCAATATCATCTCTTGATTCCACTAGTTGCGTTCTATCTGATGTAGCCAACAAACAGGTTGATTCATTGCGCGAGTGATTTCCTGCTTAGACTCTTCTACAGCTTGTGATTCGGACAACATACCTGTTGCAGTCCTGCAGAAGTGATCTCTGGAGCTATCTTTATACTTTCAAAACTATTAAGCAAGTACTTATCAGAGTCTTGTTTTCCAGCCTGCTGGTAAGCGGTATCTGTTATTCCTATTTACAAAAATTTTGGAGAGCAATCTGATTCGTTTAACTACCGTCTCAATAGTCTTCTTTCTATCATAAGCAAGGTTTTTGAGTTTGCAATCAAGAAAAACTTAATTTCTCATCTTGAAAACTTACTTGCTCTGATCATCAATATGCATTTTTATGCATTTTTTTTCCTTTCACTCAGGGGGTTCTTCAAGAGGCTTTCTTTGGCTCTATACTCTTTTTAATTACATTAATAATCTATTCTTTAACTCTATAAATCTCAAATCCGTTTTTGTATAGAATACTCGCGAGGTTGGAATTATTTTAGTCTATCTTTATGTTTTTCTGAACCGAGAAAATCAAGTTCAAAGTTTTAAATGGCCCTGCAAACCAAATAATATAAAAAATGCAAACAAAACCGATTTGTAGTAATTTCCGATACAAGCTACCACAGTTTTAAACAAATTGTATTAAAATATTTTTAGTACAGGTGTCTGATTTACTACACCCTGATTTGGAGAACAATATAACACACACTTATTTTATAAAATACAGTGTTATTTTGTTCTATTTCCATTTTCTGTTAAAAAGTATAAAACAAACTAATATTTTTTATATATATTGTGGCAAGATGATTGTATATTTTGGCAATTAAGGTACTGTAAGGTGTATATCTGTTTTATTAGGAAAAAATCTTATTTTACACTAGTGAACAAATAATATAAACACGCTAAAATTCAATTCAACAGAGAAGATAAGTTATATATTGTCTAAAGAATGTCCCAAGATCTTCACATCTAAATAAAACTTTAGTTATAAGTTCTAAAAGCATAAAATCTAAAATACATTGCACAATAAAAAAATCTTAAAGAATAATTAGTTAACCAGCACTGGTAAGTCCATTAAAAATATATCATTTCAGTAAGAAGCCCATTTAACAACATAACATATAAAACATATATTTTGACAATAAAATAAATAATTTTAAAATACTCTTATAGAATGCAATATTTACAGCAGGCATATACCTGAACAGATTTTAAAGGACGTTGGCTTTATTATTTGAAATATGAGCAACCTGATTCAAGGCAGAAAACATTAGTACCTGTGCCACGACTAAGATCGTAGAAAGTTAACTCATGCTTTTGAACAAACATTTTAGGATAATTTCCTGTAGAATACATGATCTGAATGCTGAATGCTTTATCTAGATATAGGGAATAAGCTTAAAATTAAAAAAGCTTACAATAGCTAAAAAAATTTTGAAATCCAATTTCATTTTTTTCATTATTTATTTGTCATTATAAAAAGAACACAATGCTGTTCTGAGCCAGAACTCTAACCACTGCGCCACGGCTAAATAAAATCTACATGACCGGGGCTAAAAGTAGACAATATTTGACTTATCACTACACCCCGACATTCATCAGCAAGCGTGTATAACCATTAAAATGTAAACATAAAACATAAAATTACTTTGTTCCATTTAAAAATTATATACAAATATATATAAGAATGTTAAGATCGGTTACTAATCTATAATCAAAAGAAAATCGTAAAAAAAAAAAAAGCATTCACACCTAAAAACTAAAGATAAGTTAAAAGGATAATTTAAAGAAAATTTAAATTGGATATTAGGTAATAAGTTGTTAAAAAAGAAGATAAAAGAATCTTAAAAATAAATTAACATCGTTAAGAAGTTTTTCTTTGAGTTTTTGTTTAAATAGAGAGAGTGAAGAACAATTTTTCAGCTGGTTATTTAATAAAGTGATCAATAATTTAGGACCTCTGATGGCAATAGAAAATTTAATAACCAAATAGTGTATTTTATGTAACTCGTAATTGTAATTTGAAAATCTTGTAGGGTACACGTGATTAATTTTATTGAAAACTGTTTAAAATATTATAGGAGTTAATTTATTGTGTATTTATGTTATGTATTATGTATTTATGTAGAGTTAATTTATAATGTATGAATGTAATTTTTTTGGTAGACAGAATTTTTTTTTTTTTTTGCAGAGCAGGAATTGCTCTGATTAAACCAAAAGAACTAAACATTTCAATAGGAGCGAGTGCTCTATTTGACTGTCTATATTATCAACCTCTTGTATACTAGAATTCTCTGGTCTTAAACTTTGTGAATTCCCTGGTCTTAAACTTTTGTTGAATTACTCTGATTTTTGGGTAACATATCACAAACCAAAAATCAACAAATATACGTGTTCATTTTTTATCACTGATATTTTGTGTGTATTTAAATTTACAAGAATTTAACAATCCTTCTTTTTGGTGGCAGAATTGCATTAAATATTTTTTCCCTTTCACTTTTTATAGGGCTAATCAGATTGTCTTAGCTGCATTCTCACATTTTGTATCCAAGTTTTAAGAGGTAACTTTCGTTTCCAAGTTTTTACTCAACGTAGGAGCAGACGACGAGCTTACGCTATTTTAGCATTATCATTATGATAACCAAGAACAGTCAGATCAGTTTCTGAATTATATATATATATATATATATATATATATATATATATATATATATATATATATATATATATATATATATATATATATATATATATATATATATATATATATATATATATATATATATATATATATATATGTTTGTGTGTGTGAGCAATAACATGTTTTACCTTGAAAGTTTTGTTGTTGTTATTCTGTCGTAAAAACATACGCTACCATTTTGGAGTAAATAACTTTTGATTGGATAAAAGCGAGATAACACATTATAATTTCAATTTTTAAACGGGATTAAGCAGGTAGAACAAAATGCAATGACGGGTATAATAAGTTGATTTTTTTTTTACTGATTTATTAGTAAAAAATAAATATTTTATCCATAAAAAGTAAAAAAATCGATCTAACTAAATTTTTTCAATTTGTGGAGATAGAACAAAATAATTCTAACCTCGCGTACTGTTGTTGTTTAAAGTTCGAGAGGCAATTGAAATTCAGTTTAACAAATGCGGACCCAAGAACGGAGGTATGAATTTAGATGATGATCAGTATGTAAAAACACAATTCTGGACGCCATATTTTTTATATTTACGTAACATTAAAGAAGCCCAACTTAAGCGAACTTTAAAGAAGCCATTAAAAAGTGAAGTTATCGTTTGTTTGTAATTAAATTTAATTAATAATTTGTAATTAAAGCTGAAGATGCTAGTATCAATAATCTAGAGAAAGTTTCTTAGATTAAATAAAAAAATTATGATTGAGAGAAATCTATTCATTGATATTCATATATTAAATATTGTTGCCATACCTGGGGGCGGATCGTTCAATCGTGCCCTTTCTTTTTTAGATAAGGTGAAAAAAAGCATTGTAAACATAGTTGGACTTGCACTTTCAGCGAACCTCCAACCATTATCACATCGTCGTAATTTTGCTTCATTTTCTCTTTTCTATAAATACTATTATAGGCACAACTCTAAAGACTCTTGTGCAACCTACTAAAATTCATTCTCGTGTTACTCGTCATTCTATTAGGTATCATAATGTTACTGTGACTGTTCCTAAGTGCTCTAAAAATTCTTATTTGTCCAGTGTTTTTCCTTGTTCATCGTGCACATCTAGGGTTAAAATACGGTATCGATTAGAATACAAAATCGATAGCGATTTCGGCCGAAATATCAATTTGAATCGATACCGAAATTTCAGTTCCAGTACTTTTTAGAAATTCGGTAAATAGCAACATTTCGGTTCAAAATCATACCGAGAACCCCGATATTTATCTAATTTAGAAAAACACTTATTTTTTTACAATTTTTACAAAATCTTTTGAGAATTTTCACGAAATGCTTCGTTTTTCTGCACGTTGTTAACTTTTGCTATTAACTTATATCTCTAACTTATGTCATAAACTCAATTTGGGATACACGCAAGACCAGCGCGATAGGGGTGTGTGTGGGGGGGGGAGGGGGTTATTTATACATAGATTAATTAAAGACTCTGCGAGGGAAAACTTTTAAAACTTTTTCTTTTATCTATAAGTTAAATTTCGCGTTACATAATTTATGGACGATTCCTAACATAAAAAATAACAATTTATTTGTCACGGGACATTTAAAATACTATTATGTCGCTTGTTACCAAGCCCGATTTAACACATTACATTTAGTTTCTTTAATTGTGATGTGAAAAATTGGGCGACAAATAAAAAATTGAAATGACCATATTCGTTATAAATGTTGCGTGTTATATATCATTCTAAATTGTGCGTGTTGAAACGGGCTTCGTGACAGAAAGTTTTAGAAAGTTTGGCTTGACATTTTTTTTACAGTGTATCGTCCGATATCTGAACTTTCCACAATTTCAAATTAACCATATTCAACAAAGTATAAAAATATCTTCATGAATATAAATTACTTTATAAAAATGAATTAGTTTTTAAAAAAGATAATTCAACTGAACAAAAATCATTTGAAAATTCGTTTGGAATTTTAATTTACTCATCAAAAGCTTTTAGTACGGTTGACACCACAATTTGAATAGTAAACTTGAATACTATGGAATAACGAAAAAAATTTGTTTAATTCAATTTTTTATATACTTTTTTACACTTATATAATGTTTATTTTTACTAATTTTACTTGACAAATTTATTCAAGCTAGTTTTAAAGGTTCTAACATGATCTTTTGAGACCTTGTTTATATTACTTGTCATTGTAAATTTGTGAAAATTTTTTATTATTGGGTAGCTTACATAAAATTGTATAACGACAAACAAATGTTAAAACAAAAAAATCAATGCCATATAAAAGACGTTTTTTAAACTACTACTTTAATTTACTTACTTTTTTTAAGTTACTATTTCCGATTTTTTTTTTTTTTTTTTTTACATTTTATAACTATAAGGATAACAACAGCTAATAAAAAAATTATATGAGTAAAAAAAAAACTTTAAAAGTTAATAAAGATTGTTTTTTTCCGATAAATTTCTAATTTGAGTTTTCATTTTTTCATTCTAATTTTGGTTTTACTGAAAAAATGAACAAACTAAAACTTTGGGAGGTAAAAAAAAAATCTTTTTTAAACACAAAAAAATTTAAAAATATAGAATCATTTAAAATAAATAATTATATGTATTGATTAGCCTATGGGGTAAGTTGCATCAAATCGAAAGGGTAAGATGAATCATAATATAACTGCAGTTTTGACGGATTTTAGGCACTTTTCTAAAATAATGATTGTTTTTAATATAATAATAGATAAAGCTGTTTACCAAAATTATTTATAACGTAATGTTCCAGAAAACATGACAGACCTATATGAAGTTTCACAAAATAAAAGTATTGTAACTTAAAGAAAAGCTAAAAGAATTGTAACTTAAAGAAAAGCTAAAAGAATTGTAACTTAAAGAAAAGCTAAAAGTAGTGTAACTTAAAGAAAAGCTAAAAATATTGTAACTTAAAGAAAAGCTAAAAATATTGTAACTTAAAGAAAAGATAATTGAATTCTCTGTGAGGTTTACATTTTTAAAGAATTGTGTTGCAATTTATCCCGTTTACTGTTGCAACTTATACCCTGAGCAGGGTAAGTACGTTTCGTTTTGTTTTTTTCAATATTTTGCCGTACATATAACATTTAAAAATTTTGTAAATTAAAGATGTAACATTTAGCCAATGTTTTTTTTTTCGGCGTAATATTGCAATTCTACAAATCGGTTTTTTGCAATTATCGTACTACGTTGGGCCAATATTTGGCCAATGTAGCTTAGGCTTAATATTTTGCCATAAAACATTTTACCGTAGCCAATATTCGGCCAATGTAGTTTCAGATTAGTATATATTTTTAAATTGTTTCAAAACATTTTTTAAAAATGGTATCGTTTGACAGAATAAAAAAAGGTTTTGATACTATTATATATCTTTCCATTTAATTAAATTATAAAAATAAAAAAAAGAAGCTATATTTATTAATCTTCTAAGAATCTTAAAAGGTTTCTTATAAGAAGTAAACTTCAAGAGATTCTCGTGACTTGATGTTTTGTTTTTTTAAATGAAATATTTGTTAACATTTAAATAATATGCTTAAAACATTTTTTACTACAATCTAAATTATTAATGTAATAATAAAGGCAATAATCAAATTATTTTTTTGTAAGATCTTAAAGTTATTTTTTTATTTTTATTGCTGTATTGGCATTTCAAATGTTTGTTTTATTTAATAATCTTTATTAAATTTCATTTATTAAATTTTATTATTATTTTATAAAATTTATTATTATTATTTATAAATAAATGAAACATTTCAAATGTTCGATTTATTTAATAAAGGAGACATTTTAAATGTCTTTTTTATTAAATAAATCAAACATTTAAAATGCCATACAGTATAATTTTTTTTTTCATTATTTATAATAGTTTAGATTATATAGCTATTATAAGATATATTATTAAAGGTATCAATAATATATATGTGGCATTGAAGTTGTTAGAAGCTGATATTTTACATTTTCAATATGTCTCTTTTTTTTGATTTTTTCTGTGTTTGATTATGAAACCCCATCTACTAACATATTAAAACAGTGTACAAAAAGTGATGTTACTAGAACTTATATTCTACTTATGTAGAGATTTCTAATATTCCATCTTTCCGAGGAAGAGGGACATTTTTCTTGGTTTAATTATTTTTTAATTTAATATCTCTGGATATTTTTCATATTTAGTTTGCGTGCAACAATTAACAACTTTAATCTTATACATTAACTTTAGTTATAACTTAATTATTATTGATTAGATTTATAGATTTTTAAAGCAATACAAAATTGAATTTAGCAGAAGTCTTAATTTCTGCTCTGGAGACAAAAAAGGAAGACAGCCAAAATGACCAGTCAAAATAAAGATTAAAGAGACAAAAAATTGTGTATATCTTGGTGTAGATGATTTATCCTCATTTTCTTATAATAAAACAAAAAATATTATTAAACTTTGGGATTTACCTGTAACTCCAAACTCTTTACAGAAGTTCAATGTTTGCTCTGAGAAGTTTAATGAACAAATAAATTAAATGGTAAGTTTTTATATTAAAGTCTTTATGTCTAATGATTGAAAATCTTTATTCATAGCTTTAGCTTTTACAACTTTAAAAACTTTTTCATATATTACGGTCAAAAAGTCATAGTGTTAATTAACATTTTATTGTGTAATAATCAACATATCAAGCTTGGTTGGGAAGCGAGAGCGATTGCTTACTAATACTGACCATGGAAAAACTGGCCAGGTTTTCTAGTCAATTTAACGTAACAAAATTTTTTTGTTGGATTTCAAAGTTAGTGTCACCAACTTTGAAATCACCAACTTTGAAAGTGAGGTTATTTGAAAAGAATATTTTTTTTTTAGGAAAAGATAAAATTATAAGATAAAATAAAGATTTTTTTTGGATAAAAGAAACAATTTTTAGATAAAATAAAAATAAAGTTTTTTACAGGAGAAATGTCATTCTCTTGTAAAATTTTAATTTTGTGACATCACATTTTCAAAATACAGCACTCAATTAAGCTATTATGTTTTTTGTGGAGCTACCCATTTAATTTTTCTGAAACTTATGTTTTTCTTAGTGTTCGTTCTTAGTCGTCCTTAATAATAAGATCCATACTAACATGTATAATAAGCTCCATAATAATATCCAACTTAACTAATAGCTAAGTTTTAAAAGTTTTGTCATTGAAAGCATGTACAATCTTAGCATTTCCATTACAGTAGATAGTAATTTTAAACATTTTGTAAAAACTATTGTTAAAAATGGTCAGGGAAATTCATCTGATTTTTCAAAAAAGTCATTGATTTTTATATAAATAGTTGGCTACGAACCCTGTTGGAGAAACATTGTTTTAATATGAATTTTTTTGTTGTACAGTGCAATCTGTATTTTATAAGATACAAAAAAAAATTCTTGTTAATGTGTAAGCTTAAACATTAACGAGAATTATTTTGTGTCAGTGTATATATTTTGTCAGTGTAATATGTAATTAGTTGTATAGTTTCTTAATAATATAATTAACTTTAATGTTCAAGATAAAGTTGTATCCTTGAAAGATATGCTGGTATTATTGGCACAATGGGCAAGCATTAAAGTGCAACTTGGTGAACTACAAAACACATCAAATTCAGTTATAAAAATTTGAGTAACAAAGGTATGCTAATTATTGTATTGCCTGAAAGAGTGTCATTGCCATTAAAAGCAGCAAAGAATTCAAGTACTCTGGAAGAAAAAAGACAAGAAAATACTTTAGTAAATGGTAAATATTTTTTTATGATCTGTTTAGGCATTTTGTTTGATATCTTAGTACAACTTATATACTTTGAATAAAATACTCTTTGAATACTACTTTCTTGTAAATGACATTTTATATTAATTTAAGTCTAAACAAAAGTTACTTTAATTATTGCCAGGTTGTGTTTTTTTGCAGGTCAATTATTTGGCACAAATTGGAGTTAAAGGCAAAGTAGATTGTATATGTTATTTACTAAGAATTGTTTTTTAAAATGGCCTAGCTGTAAAATTAAACTATACAGGGAGAGGACAAAAAATTGGAATAGGAAAAATGTTGATTGCATATGTTGCTATTGGTAAGTGGTTTAGAAAAGTTTATTTTTTCAGTCTCTCAAAAGTTTATTTTTTCAGTTTTCAATTTTGCATTACAGAATTAATTTCAATTTGTTATGTTTCTTTGGTGCATAATTAAACAAACAACTATATTTTTTTTTTTGTAGAAACTGCGAAATCAAATAAGCATGGCTTATGCAGACATGTGATAGAGATAGCGGAAGAAAAAATAATAATAGTGGGTACCAAATATCATAAGCTAAACACGATTCAATAACAAGTAGCTCAGCCAATATCGAAACTACTCTATAAATTTTAGTGAATTTTTTTATTTGAAACTCAATGTGTCAGTTTTTGGTTTAAGTTTGGTGTTTGCAATATGTATATTTAACCGAGAAATTATGTTAAATAAATAAATTTTTATACTTGTATCATACATTCTTTTTTTTTCTCTATAAATTTTTAATGTAGCGATACAAATCATCTTATTTGTAACAACGATCTAATGTTGCATAAAACGTTAGGCCGATATACGATATTGGGCCAATGTTGTATACAACGTCAGGCCAATTTTGTATACAACGTTGGGCCAATGTCGGGTAAATGTTGTATACAACATTGGGCCAATGTTGTACACAACGTTGGGCCAATACCTAACCAATGATCAAACCTGCATTGGGTGAACATCGACTTTCAACGTTGGGCCAATGCATGATGATGCATTGGCCCAACGTTGGGACAATGTAAGCTTGCTGTCTGGGAATGTTACAAAAAAATATACACTTTTATCTGTTCATCAAAACTTTTAAATATTTCTCAATTAATTTTCGATTCTCTGAAATCACAGTCATCAATGAGTTTATCCGTAATCTTTTCTTTAGAATAGTATGCAGCCGCTTCTTCAGATTGTAGAAACAGGCAACTCATCCCTACGTAGAACTGATCCAATCAAAGATGAAATACTTAAAAAAACTAGAATCAGCCTTTGGCTTTTTTTACTTTGAAATGTCAACAATTCAGAAATAACAGTCTACATGATAGTTCATTGGTTTTCTCAATATTCTTAGAATTACTAAGCGCATTGACTTTTGGATTCACGTAGCCATCCTTCCCGATGGGATTTGTAAATGATACACCTGCAGTGTGGTGCTAAAATTTGTCCTGATTTCCTATATCCATGCCAAAATAAGAATTATATGCTGTAAAGAATTTATACCACTGAAAATCTTATGTTTAGTTTGTATTAATAATGATAATAAAACCATAATACCACTGAAATCAGCATACCGAAATTACGTAAGAAACATTAAAAAGTTAACATAAACATTGTGTTATTATAAACCTGCATTATAAGAAATTTTATCAAAAATATGTTGAAAAACTTCTAAAATTGACTACAATTAGGCCAGGATTAGGGTTAGGGTCAGAGTTAGACTCACATTTAAAATACTATAAATTGGAAAAATCTTAGTAAAGATGTTAGCAACAAAACCCACTGCCAAACACAATATTTGTAGTAAGCCACTTTCTTGATTTTAGGTCAAGTCTTAGGAATATTGTAATATAATAAATATAAAATTTAAAGAAATTGGATTTATTAATCAACTGAATATGAACTGAACATTTGTACTTTTTTTAAATCTTTATTTTTATACTTTACTTTATTTTCACTTTATTTTTTAAAGTGGAATGATTTAAAAAAAGTGCAAATGTTCCTTTGATTACTTATAAAATGTTAAAATTTTTATAGACATGAGGTTGACTAAAAGCCAAAAAGTTAATACTAAAAAAAATTGATAAAAAACATGCATTTGCAATATTTTTCGTCTTATCTAGAGGACTTGACTCTGTAGTTTTGTTAATAACCATATTTTTCATTTATTAATTAAAATGGTTTGCTCCCTTGTGCATGGCTTGTACAATGTTAATGGTATAGTTAATTTTACTCAACATTGATCTCAAAAGTTACAGAATATTAATCTTCGTTTAGTTTATCTGAAAACTTTCTCAATATAACTTATGATGCATGGATTAAAAATATCCCGAGAAAAACAATAAAATTAAATATTTCCAATACTTGTGAATAATTTTTACCACCAGCAATGAAAATTGCCACGAGCAACAACGCCACAAAAATTTTTTTGGGTTTTTGTTTAGTAGATTATTTCATTTTAATAAAAAGATTTTTAATAATTAATATTTTTTATATGTAACCTGATCTAACAAAAAGTCTACAATTTCACAGCTTGAAACTACCATTAGTATGACTAAGCTAGGTGTTGTTTTAATATATTTATTAAACAAATACCTACATTAAACATATGCGTACATTGTTAACATATTTTGTTTTAGACAAAAAAAAATGTTTTTGAATTGCGGTTACTAGTGTGATTTGACTTTAGTCCGATGTTTGTTTTTGTCTACCCATTAAGAGTCATTTTTTGTAAGAATCAGGCAGTCAGTGGAAGTGACCTCCTCCTTCAAGTTGCTTGAATTTTTTATATATTGATCAGAATATAGAAAAAACCTGTTAGGGAAATAAATAACTTTCAAAAATGTTTCGTTCACTCGGAATCTGGGCTTGAATTTTTGATATTTTTTTAAAATTTTTTGAAATTTAGTTTTTGCCACCTTTGAACCCATTTTTTTGGCAAGGCAAAAAGTTCCACATAGCTTTTGATGTTAATATCAGACGTAACCCAAAAGCTCTCTCCAAAAAATTTAAATATAAAAGTTGCGTGACACTGTGCGGTTGGCTAATTATCATAGTTCAAAAGTACAAAAACAATCAGTTTTGTCAATTTTTAATGGGAGTTGTTTCTAGCGGCGAAGTGTTGCACACGATTTTTCTTTTAGGATTTAAAAGGTATTGAGTCTAAAAATGTATGTTGGCCAAAATTCGCCATAATGTTAATTTTAAGACACTCTTGAACATATACCATGCTATTTTTGGCTCACATCTTAGGTATGCATGCCAAGTATGGGGGCAGTCCCATCAACAAGCTCTTATTAGGTTATCCCACCTCAAAACAAGGCTTTAAAAGTTATTCATTTTCAGAATATTAAATTTAATCCTAATGTGCTCTACCTAACTTCTAAAGTATTAAAACTATGTGACTATATTCAACTTTTAAACTGTCAATTTGTCTGGAACCACCAACACAATAACCTACCTTTAACTTTCATTAATTTCTTTTCCAAAAGTGCCAACAATCATTATCACCTTCGTTCCGATAGTAATTTAAACCTGTCTGTCTCTAAACACCGCTCTCATAATTACGGGCATAAATCCATAAAATATCGAAGCACTAAAACTTGGAACAACCTTTCTTATGAACTAAAAGCTCTCAATTCATTCTCAACCTTTAAAACCAGTTTATTCTACTTTTTATTAAAAAAATATAGTTAATGTTTATAATTTCTATAATCAATTTTTGTTGTCGTAATATATATATATATATATATATATATATATATATATATATATATATATATATATATATATATATATATATATATATATAATTATTGTTATTTTGTTATTTTTACTAATATTTACTATTGATAACTACTTTTAACTTTTATTATTACTAATACTAATATTGTTAGTATTATAGTTATTATTATTATTATTATTATTATTATTATTATTATTATTATTATTATTATTATTATTATATGTTTTGAATAATATTACCTCCACAATATGTCCAATATTCCATTGTTTTTCATATGCAACAGCAACCAAATCATTCACTTTCCATATAAGACAAATTTCTTTTGCAAGATTGGCAAAGATAAAAAAGCTATTTAGCAAACAAAAACATGCAATTAGATTATTATCAAATGCACACCGCCTCTCACATTCAAGACCATTGTTTAACAATCTAAAAATACTAATTGTGTACCAAATAAATATATATCATCTTCTGATTTTTATGTATAAAATTAATAACAATTCAATACCAAATATCTTCAAACCATTATTTAATAAAATTCAACACAAATACGTAACTAAATATTCTAACAACAACTTTGTTCAACCCAAAACTATATACGACTCCACCAAGTTTTCAATAACTGTTAGAGGACCTAATGCATGGAATAAGATAATCAGTAATGATATTAAAACACTTAAAACTCTTGATCAGTTTAAACAAAAACTAAAACTATTACTTTTAAATAATGAACAAACAGATAATTATTTTTAAATCTATCTATAAAAATATTATATTTTAAAACTATCTACTAATGCATACTTTATTTGTCTGGAAGGTCTAAATTATTTAATTTTATATAGGTATTACAGTCTGTTATATTATAAAAAAAGTACTTATAAAGATTTTTAGCATTTTTAGATTTCATTAGTTTAAATAAATTTATTAGTTTTCTTAAATAAGAGAGAGAGAGAGGAAAAATAAAAAAAGTAATCTTTTTTGAGTTTTAATTTTTTATATTAATATTTTGTAATTTGTTTTTGAGGAATTAATATATTACACTTTATAAGAACAGATTGTAAATTAAATTTTACGTTTACTTTTTTCATGTTTTTTAGTTTTTTGATATTTTTGTTTTTCTGAATGAACTTTTAAATTTTTCTTTCAAAAAATAAAATCGAAAAAATATCTTTCAAAACTTTGAACTATTAAACTATTTGGCATTTTATATAAACTTCTTTGTAATATTTTGCTTTTTTCTTAATTTTTTAATTTTCATTTTAGTTACCATGTATTTATATAAATGTCTAGACAAACAAGGGACTTGGTGATAAGACAACCCCGTCTTCTTCTCGTCCTTGCCATTTTTAAATATTTTAAATTACGGAACTTGTAAATATTTGTACGGCTAAATTATAAAAAAAAAAAAAAAAAAAAAAAAAAAAAAGATGTCTTCCTCATATTTATTATCATTTTTATTGTCTCCTGTCAGATTAAAGTCATCGTTTTCTCCATAAACTTCTTTGTTATCGTTAATCTATTTTCGTCATTTTTTCATGTCGGTTCTACCAGCATACCTTTTCTTTTCAGGTGACTATCTACAACAATATCAATTGCAGACATATGTAAACAAACGCACAAAATTTCACCTAAATTTTAGTTTCATATTTGTAAAAGAACTATTTAACAGTCAGAAACATAATCTAATTTGTAAAAGTTTTGATAGCAACAACGCTTACCTTGAAAATAAAGATCTTATCTATTGGCTACTTACATATTGATCAGGCGGAAGTTCTCTTCTCAGCTGCATGTGAACCTGCTCAGGGCTCATTTTATTACCTGATTCTTTTCAAAGAATAAAGTATTTATACAACAGTGCTTTCTGTTGACTTGAAAATCTAAAAGAACTTCGAACTGGTAATGGCTAACTTTGCAATAGAAAAATGTTCATGCAATGTGGTTTGTCTTTTATGGAAACACTGTTAGAGGATAAAGAAGTCAGCATATTTAGTTGTGAAGTAGTTTTCATCTTATGAACAAACAAGTTGCGAACTTTATTCAACGATGTTTATGATTTTGGAACTGTATTAAGACCGGATAGCATGTGTTCTTCTAACTCAGCATCGTTTTCAAATGATAAGGTACAATTTATTTCAGTGCAAAATCCTAATGAACATAATTGCTTGTCACTTCTTTTCTGTTTTTTCTTAAGTGACTTGTTACTCTTAATTGAATTATCTGTTTTGCTATATGGCAACAACAACTTAATCGAGAGTTGAATTTTAAGATATCCATACTCTTGTTCAATTCCCTCACCGATATCGAAATAACACCACATCTTCATAATTTTCTCACCAAACTCAAATGAGTGATAGTTGCTAATGTTCTTAATCTTTGGTCCATTAACTACAGCTTTACCATTGCTAATTTGAGCAACTGCTACTGTTACATCTTTAGCGCCAAAACTATAATACATAGCCTTGTGTATATCTTTAGCAGTCAAAAGATTATTGCCAGAGTTAACGTAACTCCTTAAGATTGTCTTTGCAACTGCACTATCCCTATCACATTAATCTTTTCCACAGCAGGGTTCATTAAAATATTATCTCAGCAATTTTATATCCCTTTGCATACATTGTAGATTGCTTCAGTTAAAAGATTTCCATGATAGCAGCCGGCATTGATCAATTCTGAATTGGTCTAAAACTGCAGTGACTAACGAAACAACATCACCTATTCCCTAATCACACCTATAAATTGAAGTAAAGTAAACACATTTGAATAACTTTCCTGCGATTTTTATGGAGAATGTATCCACATGGAAACTCATTCCTTTCTTGCCAAAATACTCTCTGTATCGAACTGGAAGAATTTTTTGACAAAAATCTTTAAAGCAGAAAGCAGTTTCATTGTTTAATTTCTTAAAAGCTTTGATTTTTGCCTTTTTCTGATGAGAATCTCTCATCAGGTGTTTTATGTAGTTGAATACATCCTTTTACAGCAATTACAAATTACAGCAATTTCCAAATTATAATAGAATCAGCATTGTCAGAATTTTAAATTGCTAGTTCTTTGATCATCTCGATAGCTTTGCACAAATCATAGCAATCAGTTAAAAACAAGTATGCAGCCCCTATTTCTCAATAACAATGATAAAATATCTACTCTATGCAAAATTTAAAGATCGTTAAAATAAAGTTAAGACATTTTTATGGTAAAATAAATTGTTTTATGACAACCACCCACTAACAAGTTTCTCCACAATCGTGATATCGGCGATTCTTCGTTCCATTCAATCACCACAAGTTATTTGGTTATGACATAAATTTAAATAATTCAATTTTGAACATATATTGTTTTTTATTATTATTTATTTCAATTGTTATGATTTCTATATCATAGTCAGAAACGCTTAAATTTTTTCTTAACATTACGTGCAATTTTTTCTGCAATGCTAATCGCTAATTTCGGATAATAAACATTTATTGTGAGCGTAAACCGATCCAAATCCCTCATCTGTGTGTCCCAAAAAATATCTCTTCGTGCTTAATCATTTTTAACACTTTGTATTTTTAATTTTAACTTAATATCTAAAGATCACATGATTCTTTTTTTAAGTTATGTTAGGACCACGGAATTTGCCTGATTCTTAGAAAAAACGGCTCTTAAATAATGAAACAAAAAACAAATTGTTGAAATGTTTTTTGGATAAAAAATAACTGCACTAATATCAAAACTAAAATAATTTTGGTCAGGTGTTGATTGTATTTTTTTTAAGTAAACTTATTAATAATATATATATATATATATATATATATATATATATATATATATATATATATAATATATATATATATATATATATATATATATATATACATATATATATATATATATATATATATATATATATATATATATATATATATATATATATATATATATATATATATATATATATATATATATAATGTAATAGATAAATAAAAACATAAAAAAAGAGGAAAAAAATTTGAAGCTATGAAATGTATTTTCCTTAGGCCAATTTAATTTTTTTATATATATTTGTTTGTTTGGAGCTATTTCCCTTGCTTTTATTAGATCATTATTGCCTAGAAATTCAAACTCCGTTTATCTATTACCAATTTTTAGTAAAATCTTACAAAGCAAGCAATTCAAGTTGATAAAGGTAAAAGCCGTAGCGCAGTGGTTAGAGCATTGGCTTCAGGAACGAGATGTCTGTGGTTTGATGTGGCCTTACAAACAGAATTGGGAATAAAGGTGGTGATAAATTCCTTAATAAAAAGTTTTCTGAGGTGCTCTGTAACAAAAGCGTTAATTGTAATACTTTAATTTAATAACAAAGAAACTAAAGAGATGAAACTATACAAAAGATTTACGATAGAAGCAGTGACGCATGGCGCTGGACTTCGAAAGGGTTCAAATGTCGCTTTAGTTTGCGAGATCGCTAATGTTAACCTAGACCGGACTCAGTTTCAGCAAAAATGAAGTAACTCTTATTTTGAAATTTTTTTTTATTTATTAAGTAGAAAATGAAAAAAATTTAAATATTAAGAAAAAAGTAGAAAAGTATAAGAAAAAGCAAAAACTAAACTTCATTAGAACTTTGCTCCAGTTTTTGGGCGGATACTTTTACCACATGTATGCACAAGTTATTTCAATAAATCAGTTTAAATAAGTATTGTGCATTTTTATACTATGAGTAGAGCTTAACAATAATATGTCAAACTTTAATGGTTCTCGATTATGCCAGTTTACGTGAATTATGTTTTTATATTATCGATTAAATTTCCTGTTTTTTCTTTTCATCGGTGGAAACTTAAACTCCAATTATCTTACTTTTAATGACACACTTTTTGAGTAAAGGTCTTGTTTCTGTTGGTCTTTGATAAATAAATATTTTTTTATCTGCTTGGTTTTACCACTAAATCTTAACCGTTGATTTGACTGATTAACAAAAAAAAGGCAAACAGTACAAAACATACGCATAAAAATAAAAATTATTTTGTTTAACTATTTGCGATTTTACAATGTCCAATTCAACCCTTATAACAACAAATTTCAGGATTTTTTTGGCAAGTATGACACCATTTTACAAATAATTTCCGAATTACAGTTCGTTGAAACATTTGCTCCATGATGAGTACTTACGCGATCCTATACAATATACGTACTCTACGCGTTTGTGACGCAAAATTCATTATGCAACACACAGATACATGATTTGATCAGAAAATTATTATCTGCTTCTATGTTTTCTTATTAAAAATTCTTTTATATTTCAAAACTCTTATTCAATTAAAAATTTCCCAAACATTTAAAATCTCAATTCTGTAAACTATACTCAAAGCAGAATTCAGAATACTGCTTGTCTCCGGTTATTGTTTGATTTATATCGGTATGACAATCAACCGACTAAACTTTAATTTGCTGACGATAGAGACAATCAAAATTTAGAAATCATTACAGTCCGGTGTTCGTTTCTTTTTTATTCCAAATATGTGCGATATTTTACTTCATATATTCAATTCTTACTTTATAAATATAGTTTTTTAATTTTGATGCAGTCATTTAAGTTTTAAACAGTTTGTGATTTTCATCTTTTGCTATAACTGAAGTTTGCAGTACCCCCACTTACCATCTTTATCAACATCAGGAGTTGTTCCACACCATAACTTATTTCTATGATCGTCATTTCTTATGCAGTTATAATGAAGCTGCCCATTATAAGTAAATGGAAAATGACAGCAATGTCCGAACGAATTTCCACCAAACGATTCCTGATAGCAAGGCTCTAAAAAATTAATTTAAAAAAAATCAATTCTGGATCTTACTTAAAAAAAGTTAATAAAACATAGTTCATATGTTATTATGAAATAAGCGAGCAAATAGACAATACAAGATCTTATGTAACATTCGGGTTTCTTTCAATAAATGAATTACTTAATAAAAAAAAAATACAGCCAAGGTTTAACTTTTTATACGATATGTAGAGATATGTCTGATTATATAGATTTTATACGATATGTAAAAATATGTATTATTATGTACATTTTATACGATATGTAAAGATATATCTGATTATGTATATTTTATACGATACGTAAAGAAATATCTGATTATGTATAATCAGACATTTCTTTACGTATCGTATAAAATATACATAATCAGACATATCTTTATAAATAAAACTGAAAAACTTATTGCTAATCAGAAATTTGTATATACAACCAAACGGAAGATTACAATCCAAAAACTTTACGAGCTTTTTCTATTTCACCCACAAATAAATCAGAGGTATATATCAGAATTTTGATTAAAAGAGCCTCACCTACCCTAATTTATACATTGAATATTTATTATAATCAAAAATGGCGAATTAAATTTGGCTAAAGATCACAACAAAATACTAAAACTTACAACAAAATCTATTACAGCCTACAAATATGAACAACTTTATTACATTTCACCTTGAAATTATATAATAAAATGTCATATATAGTCAATATGTGGTTTCTCACAATAAACCATTTGAATACAATTTATAAGCAGCAAATAAAATTTTTTTAAGGCCAAGCATAAAATCTATGGTATATGGTAATATTTATAAGGCTCATACTTGAAAGTTCATACCTGTGCTACATTCCTTGACTTCTACAACATTATTATAGTAATGAACTACACAAACAGCACGGTTGTTTAAGTGGTCACTTTCTGTCACCAATTCTAATGGATTTACAAATACTCTAAGAGAATAATTTCCTTCTGAAACTTCTGTTATATCAATCCATTGACAATCAAGTGTATTTTTATAGTTGTCTGCACAGTTTACAGACACACCTTGATCATTTTTGTCAGTACAGTTATATACTTGCTTATAACCTGGTTCACAATCAGAATCTTCTAAGCAAAAACTTGCTTTATGACCTTCAGAAACAGGATGCCCATCTTGATCTATAAGTATATATATATATATATATATATATATATATATATATATATATATATATATATATATATATATATATATATATATATATATATATATATATATATATATATATATATATGTATATATATATATATATAATATATATATATATATATATATGTATATATATATATATATATATATATATATATATATATATATATATATATATATATAAAATACATATATATATGTATATATATATATATATATATATATAAAAACACTACTGTTAATTGCTTTAATTAATATTATTAATAATTAACGGTAGTGTTATTTGTTATAATAATTATTCAAATAACATTAAGTTTTTTTAATTATTTGAATGAAATTTACTTTTTTTTAAAATGCTATTTTTTATTCAACTACTTTTTATGTTTACTTTTGCACTTTTTGATAATTTAAAAGTATTTTGATTGAAATGCTTTGATAAAAATTATAAAAATAACAAAAATGCTTAAGTGGGAAAAATTACATAAAAAATAGACCATCAATGACTATAAATGTGGACCGACAGGTAAAAGTTTTAAATCTTTGGTTTCAAGATAAGATTGATTGTCTGGAAAAATTTTTTTTGGAATGTATGATAAAATAGTGTGTATTATTGACTGTAAAACATGGTGGATGTTGTGTTAAAATGTGAGGCTGTTTTGGTTGGGATACCACAGGTGACTTTGTAAAAAAGAGGATGTAATGACAAAAGTAGTTTATTGTACACTTAAAAAATCATGCTACATCTTCGGAAAGATGGGTTAATGGGAAACCATTTTTTTTTCAGAAGAAAATGACTTAAAGGTTAAATTCAAAATATATTTTTCAAAAAACTGAATAAGTTATTTGACTGACTTCGAGAACAATCAAATATTGAATAGAATAATTTAGCCTCCCCAATCACAAGATCTCTCTCTTATCAGATTTTTATGGGAGGAATTAAAAGTAATATTTATGGCAATTATTGTCGCTAAGAATGATTAAAAAGCTAAGTGAATTATAAACTAATCAGATTAGTCTAATTTAATAAGACTTTTAACTTTTTTGTGAAACTCATAAATATGAAGATAACATATAATTCAGATAGACTTTGTTTACAGTTTCTCTCCCAATTGTAAGTAAAACTTTGATATCTTATATCGAAAAGTACAACTATTCAAATAATTATGGACTGTAATGTGTGTGTATATATATATATATATATATATATATATATATATATATATATATATATATATATATTGTATATATATATATATATATATATATATATATATATATATATATATATATATATATATATATATATATATATATATATATATATATATATATATATATATATATATATATATATATATATATATATATATATATATATATATATACAACCATTCAAATAATTATGGACTGTAATGTGTGTGTATGTATGTGTGTGTATATATATATATATATATATATATATATATATATATATATATATATATATATATATATATATATATATATATATATATATATATATATATATATATATATATATATATATATATATATATACAACCATTCAAATAATTATGGACTGTAATGTGTGTGTATGTATGTGTGTGTATATATATATATATATATATATATATATATATATATATATATATATATATATATATATATATATATATGTATATATATATATATATATATATATATATATATTGTATATATATGTATATATATATATGCAACCATTCAAATAATTATGGACTGTAATGTGTGTGTATGTATGTGTATATATATATATATATATATATATATATATATATATATATATATATATATATATATATATATATATATATATATATATATATACATATATATATTTAGCACAAAATGTGTAAACATTCTGGTAAATAAGACAATTTTTTAAATTTATGTTAAAATCATTATTTTTATATATACGTGTTTTGACTATATCACAGCCATCATCAATTAAAATATATTAAAATGCTTAAATTAAATTAGTAAAATTAAGTTGAACTAATAGAGACCTTTTAATAAAAAATACAATTGAAATGCAATTAAAAAATGCATCAAATGTTTTAAAATAAATAAAAGAACCGGTAATGTTAAACTAGGAAACTAGATTGAAAGGAACTAGATTGAAATTGTCATTTTTGCATTATTCATTTGTTTATTAATAGTTTTCCCATTCTATGTACATGCTTTCTTTGAGTTTTAATATAAATTTGACAGATACTCCATTATTTGTGTCTTTAAATAGCAAGTAGTTTTGCCAATATAACAGGATTTACAGCCTGCAAACTCAAATTTGTCGACAAAAAAAGAATTAAAGTCTGAAGGAAAGGGATTTTTGGCAGATAAATATTTTGAAATTTTAAATGAAGTAAAAACCAATCTTACGATGACCGATTTACAAAATCTTTTAATGATTGCGTTTAGTCTTTGGTTAAATATTTTTCCAATATAAGGAAGTTTAAAATATTGATAATTTTGTAGGTTTTTTGAACGCGATGAAATGTCAACATTAGTGTTGCTATTTTAGCTGCTTTTACTTTTGAAAATCACGACAATTTATTCTTGGAGTAAATCAATAATAAACATAGTTTTATTACTTTCACAATGGAAAAGAAATTAATTCATTTGTTGTCTATTAATTTGAATGCGTAGGATATAAATCCTGTTATATTGACGAAACTACTTGCCATTTAAAGACACCGAAAAAGGGATAAAAATTTGAGCACCAAAAAAGGGATAAAAACTCAAACGTTTATAAACATATTCATTCAAAGAAAGCTAATTTAATAGTTTTAATTATGTAATTTTTCAATTTTGGATTCGGCCTCCAATAAATTTATAATAAACTCAAAGAAAGCATGTATATAGAGTGGGAAACACCAACTATTAATACAAAAATGACAATTTCAGTCTAGTTCCTATTAACATTACCGGTTCTTTTATCTTTTTTAAAATATTTGTTACATTTTTTAATTGCATTTCAATTGTATTTTTTTTAATAAGGTCTATATTAGTTTAACTTAATTTTACTAATTTAATTTAAGCATTTTAATTTATTTTAACTTATGATGGCTATAATATAGTCGAAAAATGTATTTTATAAAATAAACTTAGTTTTATGGTTCTGACGCCGGCTGGTAGTCAGGTTTCCCGAACTCTGTGGTAGCTCTCAGAGAGGCTGATTCCATCAACAGCTAAAAATATCAGAGTACTAATAGTGCCATGTTGCGCATGGATGGTGTCCCTGTTTGTACTTTTGGTGTGCATTGCCAAGGCCACATTGGAGCCCTTTGTTACGGCTTAGGGTTTATTAGTGGAAATGAGGCAATTGCTTGGGCTATAAGACAGTGAACTGAGTACTATTTATGTTTCGAGTCAAGTTCTTTAACAAATTTAAAAATGAATAAAGTAACAAAAACTATAAAACATAAAAAACCACAATCATCACCAAGTTTGCTAAACCTATCATTCACCAATATTTGTGGTCTTCGAAGTAACTTTTCTTCTGTTGAGTCTTATCTCTTGCAAAGTTCACCAGACCTACTTGCTCTTTGTGAGACTAATTTGAGTTCAGCTGTCTCATCTTGTGATCTTAGTGTTGATGGTTATCTTCCATTAATTCATAAAGACTCCAATAGTCACATGCTTGGCCTAGGCATTTACATTCGTAAGAAATCACCCATTTGTCGGAAAACTAGGTTTGAATCCACAGACTACTCTTTTATGTGCTTTTGTTTAGCACCACTTCACTCTATCTCTTTTCTCTTTGTTCTATATCGCTCTTCCTCATCTCAAGACTGCACTCTTCTTGACGTTATTTCTGATTATATTGACCAAGCCCTCATTCTTTATCCATCAGCCAATATTGTTGTTGTCGGTGACTTTAATATTCATCACATTGAATGGCTTGGCATCAGTGTCAGTGACTCTGCTGGCATTAAGGCCAACAACTTTTGTCTTTCTCAATCCCTAACTCAAATAGTCAACTTTCCAACTCGCTTTCCAGATAACCCAAATCATTTACCTTCTCTACTCGACTTATGTCTTGTTTCTGATCCGAGTCAGTGCTCAGTTTCTTCACACTCACCCTTAGGTGTTTCTGATCATGGTTTAGTCTCTCTAAAACTATTATCACATTCTTCTTTACCATCAGAATCCCCCAATCATCGTACATCTTACAACTACCTTAAAGCTGACTGGGACTCTTTCCGTAATTTTCTTCGTGATGGCCCCTGGGTAGAAGTCTTTCATCTCCCTGTTGACAAATGTGCTTCTTACATAACTTCATGGACTCAAGCTGGCATGGAATCCTTTATTCCCTCTCGAAAATTCCAGGTCAAGCCTCACTCTTCTTCATGGTTTTCCTCACATGGTGCTGCTGCAATTGCCAATCAAAACCATTACTTCCATATCTATCAGCAAAACAATTCTCCAGAAAACAGACGTCTGTTTATTACTGCTAGGAACCATTGTAAAAAGGTTTTGTCTAATGCCAAAGCCTGCTATTCTCAGATCATGAAATCTCATATTTCATCACAAAAAATAGGCTTTCGTGACTTCTGGAGAATCTTTAATAGTATCAATAATAACAGCAAGTCTGTAATTCTACCTCTTTTGTATGGTTCAGACTTTGTCACCTCACCTAAAGACAAAGCAGAATTGTTTGCCACTAGTTGCGTTTTACCTGATATAGCCGTCAAACAGGTTGATTCATTGCTCAACATACGTATCACTCCAGCTTCTGTATCTATAGTAATTTCCCGCTTAGACTCTTCTACAGCTTGCGGCCCAGACAACATACTTGTTATAGTCTTGCAGAAGTGTTCTCCGGAGCTGTCGTCTATCCTTTGAAAACTATTTAACAAGTGCTTATCAGAGTCTTGTTTTCCAGCCTGCTGGAAAGCAGCATCTGTTATCCCTATTTTTAAAAATTCTG